GCTCCCCCCCCCCCCCCCCCCCCCCCCGCCCCCCGCCGCTGAAGCGCGACCAGGCGCTGCACATTAACCTCCGGCGTGAACAAGCCCGATGTGAGCGCCCTCGCTGCTCGTCCTTCGTGGATTATTCTCCGTGTTCTTCCGTGTGTTCGTGTGACTCTGTGGCTGGAGGGTGAGTTTGCTTCGATCCACTCGCACATCGCTCCTTCTGAGGCGTTAGCAACGTTAGCTTAGCATCTCGATGTGTGATGGAGGAGCCTGAACATGGCGCCCTTCAAAACAAACTATTCCTTGAGGACAACAAGCGTGTTTCGCCGATTCAGGTGTTCGACGTGTTCGCCGCTTTGCTGCTGTTACCGTGGGCTGTCACTGTGTTCTTGTTCGCTGACACTTCGTCTCAGTTCGCCCGCCTGACTGCGGTCCCCCACTGGGCTAGTGCGCTAGCTTCGCTAACAAAAATCGATTCACAGCCATAGCCTGATTCCCAAACCACTGAGGGATTCTACTGCTAATATGGCAGCGTTTTGCCAACACCACAAACTATATTTCGTTAACATGGACTCTCATGTTTTGAAGTTGACGTTTAAAGCAACTTAAGTCGTGACCACCAGTGGTTTGTTGTTAGCATTCGTGCTAACAAACTAGCCTTGTCAGCTAACATTCGCAAAGTAAAGAGTAAGGGTTTCGGCGCTGCAGCTTTTTAAATGACAGTTGTAGCTGCTTATTTTTACAAACATAAAAAGTGCTTTTGAGTCGATGTAATATTTTTTCCCCTGGGTTTTTCTAAAGTGGTTGTCTGTTGTGTTAGCCAGTGGAGAACGAGCAGGCAAGCTAACGGCTAACATGGGCTGAGGTGTGAGGTTGAAATCACCTATTCCTCTCGTCAGTGTTCTTAGTTTTTCAAAGCCTCTTTTCTGTTGCCATTATTTATCGGTTTAACTTGGCGGTTCTGTCACTTTTGACATGGATAAAATGCAGCCCTAAACTATGACAGATTCTCCAGCATGTTCTACAACAGGTTCCAAACAGCCACACGTACAGTGATAAAGTGCTGGGTCTGGTTACAGTCTGGACCACAGGGTGTGTGTTTGACTGTCCAGTCACATCTGTCTCTGTTAATAATGTCTGTCTCATCATGAAGACGTCAATCAGACAGTGACGACCGCTGACTGTAGATCAGCTCTGGTCTTTAATCCACCGTGACAGTGGAGAGAAGACATCAACCATCACTTCACCATGTATTAAATAGGATGCGACCCATAGATAGACTGGACTGGGCTGGGCTGGACTGGACTGGACTGGACTGGGCTGGGCTGTTCTGGACTGGACTGGACTGGGCTGGGCTGTTCTGGACTGGACTGGACTGGGCTGGGCTGGGCTGGGCTGGGCTGGACTGGACTGGACTGGGCTGGGCTGTTCTGGACTGGACTGGACTGGGCTGGGCTGTTCTGGACTGGACTGGACTGGGCTGGGCTGGGCTGGGCTGGGCTGGGCTGGGCTGGACTGGACTGGGCTGGACTGGACTGTGAGTGGATTGTAGATAAATTGATTGTGTCTTTCTTTTCTTCCTCTGTGTCTCTCAGGAAATAGTGATGAATAAAGAAATAATGTCACGTGTGGTAAAGAAGAGGCAGGCGGACCCGAAGGTGGTCCAGTACGTGTGGGCTGCCATCGAAGTCATCCGCAACCAAAAACAAATTGCAAACATGGACAGGATTTCCAAGTGAGTGCAGAAAAAAAAACTGAGGTGGTGAAGGAGGGGTGGGGATGGGGGGGGGTGACTATAATATTGCAATACATTGTGTCGTGACCGTGTCACCAGATTGTTGTCCACACACGGCCCTAGTTATTCTAGAACAACCAACCTGCTGCTGATGTTTCAGACTTCTTTCCTCTCTGGTCCACGCAGGTACCTGAGTCGCATGTTTGGAATGCACCCCAAGGAGACGGCCAGGCAGCTGAGTCTGGCCGTGAAGGACGGCCTGGTGGTGGAGACGCTCACGGTCGGCTGTAAAGGCTCCAAGGCCGGCATCGAGCAGGAAGGTTACTGGCTGCCTGGAGACGAGATGGTACGTCCACCAGCAGGTGTCTCTGACGAGTCCGAGTCTGGAGGGTCTGGAGCAGATGGTTTAACTCTAAAGATAATTGATGTTAGTTTAGTCAGAGTGTAACAGTTACTGGGGTAAACCCTTGATTTACCCTCCACCGGTGCGGCTGTGTTGCACTGGTCTGATTCCCACCTGCCTTGCAATAAGTCCGCCTCAACACTAGGGACACCCCCGCACCTGATGTGCATCTAATGTAAAATCATGTCAACAAAAACCTTGTGTAGGTGAAATGCTAAAAAGAGAAATCCTGAATCCGTTGGGATTGGCCAATAAAAAGATGGGATTATTATGAGATTATTGGATGAGGTGCAGTATAGACTGAGCAGACTTCACTCTGAGGGACAGTGTCCAGCGCAGCTTAGCTCACTGTCACGACAGCTGTTTAAACACTGCTCTTTGACTCACTTGCACTCACAGGAGCCCAAGGCTGAAGGAAGCAAGGTAAGGAGTTCATCCTCCCTCTCCGACTCAGGGTCTGTCCTTCCTGTCTCCCCTTCTTCAGTGTAGTCTCCCCCCCACCCTCCCCATTTTCTCCTCCCCACTAACATCATTCTGTAAGAAATGGGTTCTGCCACACGCATTGCATTCTGGGATTTGAGTGAATCTTTTTATTCAGTAAAAAAAAAAAAAAAACCCCACCAATTTGTGGGCCCCCAGGTTTGTTCTGGTTGGTTTGGTGCAGTTCCCAGTGACACCTGCAGTCTTTGGTGTGACGACGTTTAAATACAACGGTCACACAAGGTGGAAATATATCAGGTGTCTGCTGGTCGGCGTACACTCCCGGTGACGTCACATCACCTGAAGCTACGTCTTTTACACACACTGGGGGGGGCTTCATGAAAGTCCATTGCAGCGCGGTGTCCAAGTTTCTTGCTGAAGTGATCTTGACTAAAATCATGCTCCATCCTCATCGACAGATGAAAAAACATTTCTGTGAGTTCAAGTCAGCGGGCCTCGGTCGTCATCGTCTGCTTTAATTCTCATCCCAGTTTGACGTCCATCACAGTGTTGGACAATATTTAAAATAAGAAATAACAAAAATCACCAAACTCTTTAAATAGAGGAAAAAAAGAAGAAGAAAAAAAGAAGCCAGCTAGGTTGTCAGCTAGCCCGACCTGTTGCGCAGAGCTCAGGGGAAATACAATAGTTAAGTCAGTCCAGAGGAGTTTAGCTACACTTTAAATAATCAACCGAGGTAAAGATAACCACTGAAGAAAATATTACTGACAAACCTTAACAGGAAAACCGTTGTTAACCCTCAAAAAAGTGCGAGAGCTAAAAATGAGCTAGCATGCTTAATTTTGCTAGGTAAACCGTGAAATCAGAAGATGAGATAAAAAACGCGAAATGTTTACAACATCACTGAAAGGAGGCTAGAGGTTAGCATAAATGGCTCATTTTGCTCAAATTAAACATTGTTAGTTGAGGAAAGGCTAAAGTTTGGAGGACAAGAACTCATTAAACAAAGAGCACTTTTCTTCATGCCGTGTTAAGGACGACTCGGTGAACGAGGCCTCGCTACTTGTTGTCACTGACGTCAGCGTGAGGGTCACGTCCCAGAGACGGCAGGAGCATCATGGTCTCACCTCCCTGCTCCGATCCTCTCCTCTGTCTGGCATGCTGACTGTCTTTCTCTCCTTTTCTGTTTGATCACTGACGGAGGTGGAGCAGGAGGTGGCGCTGGAGGCGGGGTTAGCTGTAGTGTGTCTGTGTGTCTGTGTGTGTGTGTGGTTGTGCTCTCCTGTTTTGTCTCGTTCGTCTCGCCTGCTGACGGTAACGTGGTCCAGAGCCAAAAACATCAGTGACTCTCCACCACGGTCTGAGGGTGGAGGCTCCTACACGGGCGCAGCCCAAATGTTGACGTCAGCAGTTTGATGTTTTTCTGTAAAATACAGCACTGTGTGTAAGTTTTAGGCTGTCTGTATGTGCTATAGCGCCCCCTGTTTACTCAGAAGATCGGACTTGACGCGACACTTGACAAAGACACGGATGTTTGCGGTCCGCCTGGGCAGAGGTCTGGTTCCAGCCCCACCTGTGACACCGTGACACAGCTGACTAAACATCTAAAGGTGTTCTCTTAAAATCCTGGATTCAGTGATCAAAAACAGTCCCAATGTTGATGGGAATGATCTGTGGTTCCCTACAGGTGCTGTACGTAATTGGGGGGGTGGGGGGGGGGTGTTGGTGGTAAATGTGGAGGACGGCCTGAAACATTTGCACAGTGCTGTACATGAGCTCCTCTAATGAAATATGTGTCACCTTGTACGTTTCCTTTCTTATACCAGTGTTTACCAGTTGAATCTAGTTCTCTGGACACCATGTAGTTACTGTGTGTGCACTGGTCAGGGTCAGTGACCCCAGGCTGTACCCGGACTGTTGTAGCTAACGTTAGCTCTGGTGTCTGTACCAGGACTGTCGTAGCTAACGTTAGCTCTGCTGTCTGTACCAGGACTGTCGTAGCTAAAGTTAGCTCTGGGGTCTTTACCAAGACTGTTGTAGCTAACGTTAGCTCTGGTGTCTGTCCTGGGACTGTCGTAGCTAACGTTAGCTCTGGTGTCTGTACTAGGACTGTCGTAGCTAACGTTAGCTCTGCTGTCTGTACCAGGACTGTCGTAGCTAACGTTAGCTCTGCTGTCTGTACCAGGACTGTCGTAGCTAACGCTAGCTCTGGTGTCTGTACCAGGACTGTTGTAGCTAACGTTAGCTCGGGTGTCTGTACCAGGACTGTTGTAGCTTACGTTAGCTCTGGTGTCTGTACCAGGACTGTTGTAGCTAACGTTAGCTCTGGTGGCTGTACTAGGACTGTCGTAGCTAACGTTAGCTCTGGGGTCTGTACCAGAGACTGTTGTAGCTAACGTTAGCTCTGGTGGCTGTACTAGGACTGTCGTAGCTAACGTTAGCTCTGCTGTCTGTACCAGGACTGTCGTAGCTAAAGTTAGCTCTGGGGTCTTTACCAAGACTGTTGTAGCTAACGTTAGCTCTGGTGTCTGTCCTGGGACTGTCGTAGCTAACGTTAGCTCTGGTCTCTGTACCAGGACTGTCGTAGCTAACGTTAGCTCTGCTGTCTGTACCAGGACTGTCGTAGCTAAAGTTAGCTCTGGGGTCTTTACCAAGACTGTTGTAGCTAACGTTAGCTCTGGTGTCTGTACCAGGACTGTCGTAGCTAATGCTAGCTTTCACAGATGTATATTTCATGTTGGGAGCTGATACTCTGGATGATGTGTGTGTACTGTGTGTGATACTTGAAGTACTGCAGTGAAAATGAACTACAGTCTTCTCAAAGATGATATCTTGAAGTTTAAGTATATGGTCTGGTCTTCCACCAAACGTTCTCCTGTGGTTGAGATCATTTAATTTGTATCAACTTTCCTGGACGAGGATTGGTTGATCCCTGTGACCAGGTGAAGTGACGTCCCTCAACACTGTAGGAGTGAACTGGTCCTTACTCTGTTCTCATGTCAGTAATCTTCACACCTTTTATCACACATCTGGACGTGGACAACAGAACCGTTTTCCCTCCCCTGCTGAGGTCGGTGGGTTGGAGGGGGGGTCACCTAGACGTGTCCTCTGTTGTGTCCTCCCTGCAGGACTGGGAGACGGAGAGCCACGACTGGTACTGCTTCGAGTGTCATCTGCCGGGCGACGTGCTCACCTGTGACAACTGCTTCCGAGTCTTTCACCTCAAGTGTCTGACGGACGAGTGCAAGCCTCGAGATGGAGGATCCCACTGGCAGTGCGTGGTCTGCAGGGTAGGACACAGAGCCGGACGTCCAAGGCCTCGAGGAGATCTGTCCCTCCGTCCCTGTCAGACTGAAGGACAGATCTCGTCAATGTCAGAAGGTGTTTCCTGTAGTGTCCTGCTATTAGTCCGACGTGACCACAGCTCTGTCTTGTCTTGTCCTCCAGGGCAGTAAAAAGAAGAACCTGAACAAACAGGAGATGAGTAAATATCTACACTTCATCGTGCAGCGCATGAAGGAGCGGGTGAGCGACACCGTGTGTTTGGTTTTGGTAAAACGTGTAACGTGGGTGAGCGATGGACAGGGTGGAGCAGACGTGTTAGCAGGGTTGAGTGGAAGATCTGGACACTGCCAACAGGAAGTTGAGTCAGGTGACCGCCTGGTTCTCTGTCTTCGACCTGGAACCTTCCTGTCAGCACCAGGAACTAGAACACCTGTGAACGACAGGAAGTAGAAAAGTTCCTGTCGTTGAATCGTGGAACATCTGAAGGGTGAACACACTCAGGACTGAGGTTCTGCTCCCTCTACAGGCAGTGGACCTGAACAAGAAAGGCAAGGACACCAGGCATCCCATGTACAGACGCCTGGTCCACACGGCACTGGACGTGTCCAACATTGATGAGGTAACAACCAGGTTACCTGTCGGCTAACCAACCGACACATCAGCCAACCAACACATCTCTCTCTCTCTCTCTCTCCCCCCCCCCCCCCCCCCCCCCCCCCCCTCACAGAACCTGTCTGAAGGAAAGTACAGGAGCTTCGATGAGTTTAAAGCCGACGCTCAGCTCATCGTTCACAACACAGCCATCTTGTACGGGGGTGAGTGCAGACCTGCTGAGCTCAGGGTTAGTCAAACACGTTCCTTTGGTCCATGTGCGCCCCCTGCTGGTGTATTACCTCAGTCACACAACGGAACAGGTGAGAGTTCAGAGACTGGTGACGTGACGTTAACCTTCAGTCGTGAGTTTGCAGCTGCCGCTGATTCAGTCATAAGGTTAGTTTAACTAGGTTAACTGTTCAACTCGGTCTACATGTTTTTACACCCTAACAATCACTGAAGTAACAACTGTAGTTTAGAATCCTGCCACCTGCTGGTGGGTCACAGCAGAGGGGCGGGTGGGCACTGAGGAGCAGCATCACCGCATGGCTCAGCCAATGATACCATTGAGGGTGGGCGGGGCTTAGGCTGCTGCAGCGCTCACATGAACACAGAGTGTTGACGGACCCATGGTACAACCTGTGGTCCGTGTAACAGTACCTGGTACCGATACCAGTGCTTGACTTGACTCGGTGTGTGTGTGTGTGTGTGTGTGTGTGTTTGTGCTGCAGTCCACAGTGACCAGGCGGAGATCGCTCGGATGCTGTTCAGCGACACGTGTCACGAGGTTCGTTCTCTAGACCCAGCTCAGATGATCCACAGCCACTGCCATGGTTCTAATCCAGACTTTTTCTCTCCTCCAGCTGAACGAATTACTGTTGTGTAGAAACTGTTTCTTCCTGTCCAACGCCCGGCCCGAGAGCTGGTTCTGTTACCCCTGTGTGAGTACCAGCTGCTCAATCTGTAAAAACATCGGAGGTCAGAAAAGTCGCTGTTCTTTTACTGTTGGGTCAAAAGGTGCACTGATGCTAACATGATGATGCTAACAGATAATGCTAACATGATGATGCTAACAGAT